AATTTAGCTTCACCCCCTTCTTTGACCGAGAGAAGACTAGGACCGGAGTGAACTTTTAACGCTTGAATGAGTGACTGTATCACTAACCTCTATGAGTTACTGTATATATTGTATAAAACAGAGGATTTTTTCTTATGAGTATCGACTGCACAAAAAAGTACTGAGATTGCCCCCTTTCATTCGCTCTAAAAGCTGCATTATAATCTCTCCTTTCTTCCATTGTCAGGAGATTTCATTTTAACGACCAACGCTTTTGCGTTAAAAAAAAATACGTGGTCTTCGCGCATTTAATTATGTTGTCTGTTTATTCCTTATTTGTGTAAATTGCTCCGTTCCTTTGTTCCAATTCTTAATTCAGCTCTATAGAGAAATAACTTACCTTTTCTTGAAAAACTGCGAAAAAGGTTGTTAGAGACGGTTGTAACGCGAATCACCTTGAAATTAGATTTGATATGCGCTGCTCGCCTCCTAACTCCAGATATTAAGCAAAATTTAAAATATTTTATTTACCATTCCAATGTAACAATCCTCATTGCCATGACACAACTGTTCCAGAAAATTGAAGTTGCTCGCTGGGGAGTCGAGAAGACTGAAGTAAAAGCAATTTGCTTCGATCTAGGAGGTCATTTTGTGTTCATCAAAGGGATAAGACAAATCAAAGTACAGTAGACTCTCCCTCGAAGACAAGCGCTGCTAGAATTAACCGAATTCGTATCCAATTGTCTGACGTAGGAAGATGGCGGACGAAACATGGAAGAGAGTCAAGACAACGCGACCTCGGGAATTTTGAGGGAACAAGGTTGTTCCGATGCACATTAACTACATGCATTTCTGTATTAAGTGTTCTTTGCTAGGAAAACTGAACTGCATGTTTAACGCTTTTAAAATCTACATCCTGTTCTAGGAAAAAACAAGGTTACGAATTTCGCTTCCTTGAAAGTTTTTTTTTTGTATGTATTTGTTAGACATTTAAGAATAAATATTAGCGAGAAAAACACACAACGTTTTGATGACTCCATGTCATCATTCTCAAGTGAGAAGAGAATAAAAATGAATAGTTAATTTATACCGTACGAAGGTGACAAACGTAAAAGGTTCAAAACTTTTTTTAAAGAATTTAAATTAATAATTGCGCGTGTTGCGTTCATAAATGTAAACTATTAAATAAGTAGTTTTGCGCGTATGGAGTCCTATTACTTGTTCAAAGAGGGCTTGATCTTCTTTATGAAAAGCATTTCATGAACTAAACAGTCCAGTTTCGCGGTGCACTTTTTAAGTACGTTGAAATGCTTGGTAAGGTCGCCGATGGTTTGTAGGCGGTGGTCGTTCTTTAGATGTTTGCCGATGGCCGAATTACGGTGCTTATTAATACGTAGATGTAAATGCCGGCTGGTGTACCCGACGTACTCTGCATCACATAGATCACATTTATAATTATATACAACGCATTGTTGGCTAACTGTAGGAGGTTTAGGCTTACGTACTCTGAGATCTTCACAGATTTTGCGACTCTTGAACACGGGGTGAAGGGTGTGACCGATTTCGTTGCTTAGATCTGATAATTGCCTTTTCACTGCGTCAGCTGACTTTTGATCTTTAAAAGGCAAAACCACTCGGTGAACAGCATTTTCGTTGATGGATAATTGAGCTTGCACTCCAGGGTTTTCCGACCCAACTGAGTTATGTATTGTATGTATTGTATTGTATGTATTTGTATTGTATGTATGTATTTATGAATATTTATACAGGGTAGCCCAGTTCAGCTAAGGCTTGTTTAAATGGGGCCCTGTCACACCCACCCATTCCACCCCAGGGGAGGACATCCACCACACAGTAATCTCGTGCAAGGCTCGAACCCTCGACCTCCTGCTCAACACAATCCGGCGCTCTAACCAATTGAGCTAACCGGGGGG